ACGGGCTGTGGTGCCGAATAGAACCTGGTGCTTCAGATCAGCTAGTAGTGTAGTAAATACTTCACCCTCTTCCTACCAACTAAGCCTGTAGCATTGACTTTAGGTGCCTTGTTCATTCTATTCAGGAAAGGGACAAGAGGAGGGAGGAGACCCAAATCCTAGATTTTACTGCGAGCCGTTTTTGGAACACTATGGGCAAGTTCCTAATTTGTTTTATTTTTGGGAGAGCCTAGCCTGGAACCTAATATGTAGACCAGGCTGGCTTCTGCCTGCTGAGCACTGGGATTAAATGTACCACCACACCCGGTTTTTTGTTTTAAGACTCGGTCTTACTAGATTGCTTATGCTAGCTTCAAACTATCCCTCTACCTCAGCCCCTGAATAGCTGGAATTACAGGCCTCAGTTTCTCCACAAGGCAGAGGACGAAGTACGACCTTTGCACCTTTCCCGTCTGTCCCTTCCGAGCTTCACAGCTCCTTACCCAACAAACAAAAGGTTCCCTTATAAAACACTGTTCTTTATTTTACATTATGGTCTTCGAAAGGTGCAAACTTCCCAGCCCTGTTTGACCGAAGGGAGGCTCCGCCCTCGGGCCACGGGTTCCCAACGCGAGCATCCTTTCGCAGGCTCTCATTGGCTACCTCCGGCCGAGCCCCCGTAACCCTGGCAACAGCGCCCGCCCCGGAGCTGCCAGTCCAGGATTGGTCCGTAGCTCCCAAGTTCGACAGTGAGCTCCTTAAGCCTTTGGCCTGAGTCATTGAGAAACTGGCGTGGTGATTGGCAATCCTGGACGTCAGTCAGTCGGAGGCGGGCCCAGTGAGAGAAATGGCTGCCGTGTCTGCTGTCTGCCGGTGGGTGAGCGGTCTCTGCAGGGGCGGTGTGGAGCCGGGTTGCAGCGTTCAGGGCATACAGCTCCCACCAGTGGGAGGTGGATTTCGGCTCCGCTGGGCTTGAAAGCGAACCTCAGCCTTCCGCGTCCCACACCCGGGCTCAGGTGAGGTCAGAGGCCGCCTTCCCTTCCCGGTCCACATTTTCGGACCCTATAGAATGCATCAGGATCTGGAGCCAAAGACTCCAGCTTCCAGTTCTCTTAATGGTGGACCTATGGCTTTGAACCTCAGTCTCTCATCTGCTTTGACCCTGACTGAGACTTTCTTTTTTTTTTTTTTTTTTTTTGGTTTTTCGAGACAGGGTTTCTCTGTGGCTTTGGAGCCTGTCCTGGAACTAGCTCTGTAGACCAGGCTGGTCTCGAACTCACAGAGATCCGCCTACCTCTGCCTCCCGAGTGCTGGGATTAAAGGCGTGCGCCACCATCGCCCGGCGTGACTGAGACTTTCATCTGCGGAATGGGGACAGTAAATGGAGCCAAACAGGAAACATTTGCATAAAGCATTACAGCCAGTCGGGATATACGTAGAAAAAACAGGAACAACTGTTAGCCCCGGTTTACAGCGACAGGAATTCAGTTTCAGAGAGGGTCACTGACTAGCCCAATATTTCACAGAAAATTTTGAGCGATTTTTTTTTCTGGTATATATCAGGACCAAAAGAAGCAGTTTGTAAGAATTTACAAGAATTTGTGAACATAAAGGCTATACAAATACCCAGAATGGTATTTTTAAAAAGAAGCGTATGTGGCAACACAAACCTGAATCCCAGCTCTTAGAAAGTTTAAGCGGGAGGATGCGTGGGGTGGGAACAAGCCAGGCCTACACAGGAGTGTCCTTGTGTAGAAAAATAATAAAGGCCCTGTTTTTTCCATCCCCTGTACTGTCAATGTGCTATATCCCCCAGCCCTGAGAGTTCTTAAGACCAGGACCTCATAGTTCAAGATGTCCTTGAGGTGATCTGGCTGCATCCACCTCTCTGGGATTACAGGTGTGTGTTACCACCCCCAGTCCTTTGGCTTAGGTTTGGGTTTTGGTGTGTGTGTGTATGTGTGTGTGTTGTTGTTGTTGTTGTTAGGGTTTTGTGTTTTGAGACAGGTTCTCTCTTTCCTAGATGCCTGCACTGGTCTTACACTGGTCCAGCAGACCTTGGCCTGGTGATCCTTCTGCCTTTGCCTTTTAGGTAGCTTGGATCACAAGTGTGCACCATTACACCTGGCTTTGTGCCTATTTGGGTCCCTGAGAACCTTATGCTTCTATGGCTGGCTTGTTATTTACATCTTATATCCAGGGTAACCTCCCCTAGAGAGGCCTTCCCACTTTAGCTAATGTGTCCTGTCAACCCCAACATACTCTCTGACCTGTTTCTCATTTTTGGGTTTTTATAACCATTATCCAATGTAACCTTCATGGGCTAGTTGTATATCTGCCCCTAAAAGATACATGGTAAATGTTTGATAGATATTGAACTATTGTCCATATAAATAATCAAAGTGCCAGGTCCTCACTGTTTTAAGTGTCTCTCCCTTTCCATAGGTCCATGTGGAACAGAATCTAAAACTGCAGTCTAACTTCGGGCATCAAATTCCGTGGCACTTGAGAAATGTAATGTTTTCCCACGGCAGTCCTGCAGAGGAAGCAGCCTAGCGTGGGCCTTGGATCCCTCCCTGCTCCTCCATGGCCCTGACAATGATGAACGGACATCTTATTGAGGACTCGAGCCCACCCACGCTGCTGCACCAGGTTAGCAAGACTCCTCAGCTAGATGCCTTCAGCTACCAAAGCTCCTTCATGCAAGACCTCTTTGCTCATTTCCCCGAGGTCTTATTTATACACCGGACCTATAACCCAAGAGGCAAGGTGTTATACACCTTCCTGGTAGATGGACCCCGGGTACAGCTTGAGGGTCCTCTTGCCCGAGTGGTGTACTTTGCTATCCCTACCAATGAAGATGCCAAAGGCCTGGCCCAGATGTTCCAGGTGTTCAAAAAGTTTAACCCAGCCTGGGAACGAGTCTGCACCATCCTGGTGGATCCCCACTTCCTCCTGCTGCCCACCCTGACCATGGAGTTCCCCACCGCCGAGGTCTTGCTCTCAGCCTTCCACATCTGTAAGTTCCTCCAGGGTAAATTCTATCAGCTCTCCCTGGAGCAGCCGGTACAGAGTGTGCTTCTCTCCTCCCTGCAGAGCACCATGTGCTCGGCCACAGCTGGCAACCTGAGGAAGCTGTACACACTCCTGAGCGACTGCATCCCCTCCACCAGGCTACCTGAGCTCCACTCACACTGGCTGCTCAATGACCGAATCTGGCTGGCCCACCGCTGGAGAAGCCGAGCCCAGAGCAACCGATACTTCCAGAGCCTGGAGGTCACAGCCCACATCCTCAGTCAGTTTTTTGGTACTACCCCATCTGAGAAACAAGGCATGGCCTCTGTGTTCCGATACATGCAGCAGAACCCTTCAGACAACACAAGCCTCAGCCTGACTGTGACTCCCAAGGACAATCCCGCGCCTGCAGGCACGAACCCTGAAAGCACCAGCTCAGAGCAGTTGGTGGAAGCCCGTATCCAGCACTCCCTCAACGCCATCTGCACAGGTCCAGCCGCCCAGCTCTGCCTAGGTGAGCTCGCTGTGGTCCAGAAATCCATGCACCTCATTGGCTCCGGCTCGGAAAAAGTGAACATACAGATTCTGGAGGATACGCACAACGTGCAGCTCCAGTCCCCTGCCAGCTGCAGCTGCTACTTTAACCAAGCCTTCCACCTGCCCTGCCGCCACATCCTAGCCACGCTCAGCGCCCGTCACCAGGTGCTCCAGCCTGACATGCTGCAGGCTCCGTGGACCTCGGGCTGTGCCACCAGTCTAGACAGCATCCTGGGAAGCAAGTGGAGCGCCGCCCTGGATAAACACCTGGCCGTGACTCTCCTCACGGAGGAGGTAGGCCGGCTCTTGCAGCACTGTAGCCAGGAGGAATTCGAGCGTCGCTACAGCACCCTTCGAGAACTCGCCGACAGCTGGATCGGCCCTTACGAGCAGGTACAGCTCTGATCGCACAGACATACCCAGTCCTGGGCACTGAACCCAGAGCAGCACGTGTGTGAGGCAGACGCCACCACTGCTCTATCCTCACTAGGTCACCTAGGCTGGCCTGGAGCTCAGGATGTAGCTGAGACTGGTCTTGAACTCCTCCTGATCCTCTGTCTCCCAAGTGCTGACCACTGCCTCTTATTTTGAGATACTTCACGAGGTTGCCCAGCCTAGTTGTGAACTCACTCTGTGGATAGGCTGGCTTTGAACTTATGAACCTCTTGAGTGAGTGGGATTCCAAGTCTGTGTCACCAGGCCTGACTTTTGGTCATGTTGCTGCCCTGAAGTGTCCGTGTACATGTGTGCCTTCAGACCCTCCCCTCTGCACACAGCTGTGCTTCCTCCGCAAGTCCTTGTTCTACTCCAGTCTTCTCTCTAGAATGCGGCAAACAGGTGACGGTGGTGGCGCACGCCTTTAATCCCAGCACTCAGGAGGCAGAGGCAGGCGGATCTCCCTGAGTTCAAGGCCAGCTTGGTCTGCAGAGCAAGTTCTAGGACAGGCTCCAAAACTACAAAGAGAAACCTTTTCTCAAACAACAAAACAAACAAACAAAAGAAGAAAAAGAAGAAAGAAAATGTTTTCTGTTAAGGGGTCAGTAGTAAACATTTGTGGGCTTTGATGGTCGAATGTGGGCTTTGTTCTACATTCTGGCTTCAGATTTGACAACTTTTTCACAAGGAAAAATATAGCTCAAGAAATTTCTGTAAACAAGGGATTCCTTGAGAGAGATGGGGGGTGATGAGGTTGAAGACTCCGTGTTGGTCACTACTGCCCCAGTCATGAGATGGCTCACCTGATGCCAACTTTGGATGGAGCCTTCCCACAAAGGAAGAGGCTGCTGCAGTGAGTCAGCCAGGCTTCCCAGTTTTTCCCGGCCCACCCTGGGATCAATAAAGTGAATGTTGCATCCCCACACTTGTCCTGTGGTCTGCTTTATACATGGTCTGTGAGGGGGTGAAAGAAGGAGAACTGGCAAGGCTGTGTGCACAGGGTGGGGCTGTGTGCAGGTGTTGCTTCTGTTCTTTTTACCTTTTTAGGTCTGGTTCTGCTTTGCCAGCTGTGAGACTCCCAGCAGGCAGCTCTCTAAGCCTCCATTTATCTGTGAAGTGGGCGTCCTCACAGGGTGGGTCATGTTAAAGAGGAATGGGTTCATAGGGTTTGCTCAGCCACGTTTCCATCATTTGCCTACAGCCCCGTCTGTCTTCAGGAAGCTGGGACACAAGGCAAGAGGAAAATCCACAATGTCTAGAACTTTAGACAGAAATTTCTCAGGTTCCTCAATACAAAATAAGCATCTACTCTCTATATAGGGCTTCCTACCTAGGTTACTTCATTTAACCTGGTCAGATCTCTCTGGGTGGTACCTCATGCAGTGGGGGAGGGGGTCCCAACAAAGCAGTGCAATTTATCAGGATGGCTCAGTTACCCACTCCCTCTTCCCATCCCTGCCATAGCCACCCCCAACCTTATCTGCCCAAAAACCATACGGAGAGGCCACCCTAAGCATCTCATGCTATTTCATCTGGCGACAAGCAGGAGTCCCTCCTGGATCTCACTAGAGGCATCTGTCCAGAGGCCATGTGGGCATGTGCCTTTTCCACTGCACCCCCTCCACAGCCCCCTCTGGCTCTGGATGGGCCATCATGAAAGCTTGAGCTGCCCGGATCAGGTCCTCTTCCCGCAGGCCTGGAACAGGCACGGTGGGGATGCCCGCGATCATCATGGCTAGGGTAAGGATGCAGATGTCAGGTTGGGAGCCAGCCTCCTTCCCACCTGCTTCGGAGGACATCGTCAGAACCCCTGGTGACAGCCCACACAGCAGCAGGGGCCGAGGCCTGCTAGGGCCACCCAGGTGGGGAGCTCTGCTTCGGGAGCAGGGGTCTGCCCAGCTCAAGGTCTCCAGCTGCCTCATGGGGGGCAATTTGGGGCAGTATCGGTTGTGTTCCTTCCGCGGTGTCTCCCAGCTAGCACCCCCAGAGCAGCCCCTGGCTTCAGGCACTGCCAAGGTAGGGCCCCAGACCTGGGCAGCAGGTACCACCTGCTCAGCTTTCTGGCTGAGTGGACCTAATCCACCAGACGCCACCACCACTGGCTCTGCAGAACTATAGAGACCAAGGGACGGACCCGAAGCAGCAGCCCCACCTGCAGAGACAGGAATGAGATGGAATGTTATTCTTGGTCTCTCGGAGGAAGAGGCCCTGAGGGGCAGGGCCTGGGAGCAGGGGCAATCAGAACCAGCCCAAGAGGATTGTCAGAGGTTGGGAATGGAATGTAAGCATTACTCATATCCATAGCTCCAGCCAGTCCCAGTTCTGCAGGTGATGGGGAAATGTTTGTTGAATAAGTGAGCAAGTGGGTAATTAGTAAGTGGCAAGGCCTTTTGGATATCTTCTCTTCCAAGAAAACTGATTCCACAGTCAGCCCAAAAAATCCAGCAGAACCTCCTCCCCAAAGCCAGGAAGCAACTTCACGAGGGAAGCTGTGGTGTCCCCTCCAGTTCTGGGACCCCCCTCTCACCTTGGCCAGAAGACAGAAGCCCCAGATGAGTTTGTGGAGACATGAAGTAGGACATGGCTACCCCAAAGTCCCTATTTGTGAGGGAACTGCCCTAGTTCTGCCCGACTCTCCAGTTTTCTACATAGTCCCCTCTACACCCGGACCCTACCTCACAATACTAGTCTGTTCAATACAGAACATGTATGTCACAATGGGAGGGGTTAGATGGACCAGGGGACACTGGGCCAGGATCAGGATGTTCCAGACTCTTCATTCATTATCTTCGTCAGGATCAACTTGGATGGGTGGTTTTGTTTTGCTCTCTTCTGGTGCGGGGACGGAAGCCAGGGCTTTGCAGATGCGAGGACTGAGTGCTGCCTCAGACCCACATTCTACTTGTTTGGTTTCTATTGTTTGTTTTTTGAGACAGGATCAAACTACAATCGCCCTGGCTGGCCTGGACTTCCTATGGTCTACTTCCTGTGCCGGGCCTGTCTCCTGCTTGTTTGCTGGGATCAAAGGCGTGAAACCACCATGCTCTCAGCCTGTTTTTGCTTTCGTGTAACTGGCCTCAAATCCTTGATCTTCCCGTCTCAGCCTTCTAGGTGTTGGGAATACAGGTGTGTGCCACCACACCTGGCTTCACCTAGACAGTTTTGTTCCTCAGTATCCTCATCTACAGCCGGGCGGTGATGGCGCACGCCTTTAATCCCAGGGAGGCAGAGACAGGTGGATCTCAGTGAATTAGAGGTCAGTCTGGTCTACAAAGCAAGTTCCAAGACAGCCAGGACTGTTACACAGAGAAACCTTGTCTTAAAAAACAAAACAAAAAATTCTCATTGGCAAAATGGGGGTGATACTGCCCCCTGCCTCCCCAGGAGTTGTGAGGGTGAAATAAGAGTATCCCTGTGGAGCTAACGATCGGAGATAGAAATAAATGAGGCCAGTGCTTTTGTGCCTTACAGTGCGAGTCAAGGTTTTCATTCAATCATCTGCTACCACTCAAACCGAGCATGGGGCACAGGCCTGTGATCTCAGCATTCAGGTGGGAGAGGCGGGAGGTCAGAAATCCAAGGTCATTCTCCACTTTATGACCAGTTTGAAGGCAAACTCTTGGGAGTACAGGTGACCCTCTTGATTTTTTTCAGGATTTATTTATTTATATATATGAGAACTCTATCTGCATGTCTGCGTGACAGAAGAGGGCATGAGATCCCATTACAGATGGTTGTGAGCCACCATGTGAGTGTTGGGAATTGAACTCAGGACCTCCGGAAGAGCAGTCAGTGCTCTTAATCACTGAGCCATGTCTCCAGCCAGACCCTCTTCTTCTTGTTGTGGTTTAAAATCATTTGCTAGAGCCAGGCATAGTGGCTCACACTTTTAATCCCAGCACTCAGGAGGCAGAGGCAGGTGGATCTCTGAGCTCGAGGACAGCCTGGTTTACAGAGCAAGTTCCAGGACAGCAAGGGCTACAAAGAGAAACCCTGTCTCTAAAATCAATAAACAAATAAATAAAATAAGAAGTATTTGCTATTTGTCCTTACACAAACATATTCTCACCTGTTGGCTTGTTTTCCCCTGGAAAATGACATGGTTGGTTCAGGTCACTGGTGGCCAGCACAGGCTCTGGGAGACTTTGAATACCACTAGGGTCCTACTCCATCAACCAAGAATGCCAGGGACAGACCGATGTATCAATATTTTTATGTTCCTGAAGACAACAGAGTCAGGCCTGATGGAACAGGCCTGGAAACAGCTGCCTGGGAAGCTGAGGCAGAGGGATCACAAGTTTAAGGCCAGCCTGGGCAATTAGACTCTGTCCTAAATGACAACTAAAAGGGGGCTGGCAGCTGGGTGTGGGGGTACACCCCTTAATCCCAGCATTCAGGTGGCAATGACAAGCAGATCTTTGTGAGTCTCACACCAGCGAGGGCCACATATTGGGACCCGTCCTCAAAGGGTTGGAGGGAGGCTGGGGAATGGCTTGGTGGCACAGTACTCATCTGGACTGGGCACTAATCTCAATCCCTATACTGCAAAAGACAGAGGCAGAACTAGTAGGCCATGCCTGGGCTCTCAGGTTGAGATAGGACTGCCACAGTTCAAGACCCCGTGTTCCAGAGTAAGACCCTGTTTCAAACAAACCAAAAACAAAGCAGTAAATATAATATTTCCCAAAGGTAAAACCTCTGATCTAGCGAAATGCATCTTCACTATGACCATTTATTAGAATCTTTGAAGGAGCTTTTTACAAAAAAAGAAAAAGTGTTTAAGTCAGGCATGGAGGCCCACACCTATAATAATCTCAGAATATGGGAGTCTAAGGCCACTCTAGGCTGCAGGCAAGACCTTGTCTAAAACAAAACAACACAAAAAGCCATGATGACTGGGTTTAATTCTCTGACAAACCACAAACCAAAGGAGAATATGGAAGCTGTGCTTGCGTGTATGTGTCTGTGTGTGCGCGCGCGCATTGGCACTCACCAAGTGTCCTAGATAATTCAAAGGAGCCCACACACTATGGAGGCCTGATCTAGACAGATTCTAAAACACTCTCTTTGGCCCGTGACTCTAGAAGTGGCTGCCCCAGGGCTGCAGAGACGAGGAGACCCTCCCGTGCTCAGAACGTCAACACCGGCTATTTATTTCTCACCCGATCATTAACCACGTAGCCAGTTTCGGATCAGCCACTGCTCTGGAGGCAGGATGGCACTTCTGTGGCCCTGCTCCGGTGGCCTCAGGCCTTCATTCATACTTGCAGAAGTCCTTCAGTCCTTTGGGCAGGTGGAGCCCATCAATGGCCAGCCTGTGCACCACACTCTTCTGGATCACCAGACGGCACAGAGTTTGCAGGGACGGCACTGTGGAGAGAGGACTGTCAGAGACAAACTCATCTGGGGGAGGTGACAACAGGGCTGAGGAAATCTACATCTTGGTTGCTTATTTGCCATCAACCTAGGAATTACTTTCTGCTCTCAGGCTCAGCCTGCCCAGCGGGGCTGCTTGTATAGATAGCTGACGTACACCTCCTCCTGAGCCTCTGTCTACACAGCTGCTTCTATTGCAACAGAGTCTGATTCCTTCACCCTTTACTCAGCTTCATGTCTGATTTGCCTGTGCAACCACAGCCCAGTACATTGCAGGTTCCAGCGCAACGCATTCAGACACGTGACCAGAGGTTTCAGTGAAAGGTTTACTGGGCTACAATGAGCCAGACTTCAGAATTTAAAAGTTCTCAATCTGAGGTCTGTGGTGGCTCTAAGCCAAGAGGTCCAAATCTGTGAGCATTTTCCTAATAAACACAAACTCATAGCTGAATGTAGGGGCCCCAACCCTCAGCAGGCTGAGACAGAAAGGGGTGTCTGAAAGTCTGAGGCCTGCCTGAAAGACCAAGTTCCAGACCAGCCTGAGGTACAGAGTGAGTGGGTCTCAGAAAACCAAAACTAAACAAGTTCACAAATTTCTCAAGAAGCCTCAGGTCTAAAATTGGTTTTAGAATCCCTGTCTTAGGGGTTGGGATGTGCAACATAGCAAGAGTGTTTGTCTAGCATGCATGACACCCTGACTTGGTTTCCAAGACCAAAACAAAACAAAAATCCCTATCCTTCTATTGAAACATCGTCCAAGCTAAAAGGGACCTGTAGGGTCTCAGTCAAGCAGCTGAGTATACTGGTGCAGGCCCACCGCCAAGAAGCGATGTGTGCAAAACCACAAGCAGATGGATGCCCTAGGCAAGACCAGATTCTCCATCTTCAAAACTAGTGCTGCTCAATCTCAGACCTTGCCAGCTGGCTGTGGTGTCCTAGCAGGTGCCTGTCCCTACACTAAGCCAGGTAAGGTGGAATACCTACAGCCATACTCCAGTTGGACCAGGCGCACACTCTTGGTGGAGGCAAACACATCTACCACAGCGTAGAGGGGCTGGGCAGCTGGCAACCCCCGAGCACTGGGACCCATGTCTTCCCCGTTGATGACGATGTGCATGTCGGCGGTCCCATCCTCACGCGGGCAGAAGAGAACACCCAGGCGGCTACGGCGCGCTGTAGGAGGCAGCACGTTCTGTTCATAGAGCTGATCCAGGAGGTGGCTATAGAGCCCTGGCCGGCTGCGTCCCACCAGGCGGTCCCGGGGTATTCGGAACTGCTCGACGCGCAGATAAGGTTCAACCAAGAGGGCTTGGGGGCGTCTGGGGGCCGCGGACTCTGCATATGCTTGACCCTCCCGGGGCACGCGGTTGTGGTGGCGTGTGATAGCGAAGACCCAGCTGTGACCAAGGCTGACCAGGTCTGGCAGTGAAAACTCGGGTACAGCGGCCAGGCTGGCCGGGTCCAGAGCGGTCAGGCCAAGACGCAGATGCCCGCACCAGCCCAGCTCTTTTTCCTCTATCTCCACTAGGAATACCTGGCCCGGGGCTAGGGGCTCGCGACTGAAGCACACACCGTGGGCAAAGCTCTCCACGCGTGTGGCTCGCGTTCCCGACGGGTCCACGCGGATGTTAGCTCCGTGAACTTGATGGAAGCGGGTGGGAGGGGGCTCCGAGGGCGCAGGACCCCGTGGGTCACCCAACCCTACGGGTCCGGAGGCAGCAGCCATCTCCCCGCCATGAGACAAGCCCGCTCGTGCCAAGGGCTATTTTGGGCGGCGGGCTCAGATGGTGACCGCGGGGAGGGGACCATGTAAGGCATTTCCCCCTGGCCTACCTAACCCCGGCACCGCCTGGGGGTCCTAGTGCCGCTTTCTCGGCATCTCGCCAGTAACATGTCCCCAGGAGTGTGGGAAACCTTGTCAATACCAAGATCATCTGATCTCTAGCACCCTGGCTAATAACCCTAGGAGCTGTGTACTTTGGCCAGGTAACTGACCGCTCCCGACCCGCAGGCCGGCAGACAAGAAAAAAAAAAATGGACATGAGCAAGCTCTCACGTGATGCGGGCGTTCACGTGACTAGGACTACACATGACTTCCAATCCATCGGCGCCTCCTGGAGAGCAAGGACGCAAGGAAGCAGAGGTAAGGAGATTCCCGGACCGATGGGCAGCGATCGAGGCTCTGCGGCTGGGAGTTGGACCCGGG